ACTTTCATGGGATGGTTTCAAATGGTAGGCAGTGAAACTGTCAATTATGGACAGCAGTCTGTATCTCAGGCTCAGCTAATTATGCCCACTTAATTCAGCTCTTATGGCAATCCTCTACTTTACCTATCTCAGGCCCTCAGCAGCCAGATATAATATTCAGACCTTTTGCTTATACCACAGCTTCTGTTGTGACAGTTCTGATTTCGGAAATCTGGTTCACTTGCTTCATCCAGGCCTAGCTTAATTGTACCCTCCTCCAGGAAGACCTCTAGGATTGCTCCTTGCACTCCCCCTAGCAGTTGGCAGTTCATTTCTTCTGTGGACACACAGAGAGACATTAGAGCTGCGATGCATGAGAATGATGTGGCATCAGGCTTGGCCTGCTGTGATGGGCCCAAGTCATGCACAAGCAATGTGGGACGTAAGGTTGTCAAATGTAGGAAGGCCAGAGGATGTGCTTGCTTTGGCAGCACATATACTAAAATTGGAAGGCCAGGGCATTTCAACAAGTTAGCTCATAGCAGCCTCCCTGCTCACCCTGTAATATCGCAAGCACGCTGGCTCGGGGAAAAATGGCTTCAATGTTTTCCAAGCAGAAGTTTGAACGAAAAGTAAAATCATGTTGGTTATAATCAGTTCCCAGCTTTAAATTTGTAAGACACTACAGACAGACAGATGGCTTAGTGTGCAGTGCTAAGAATACAGCTGTAATAATGCAACTGCCTGCTCCTGGGGGATTAGCTTCCTAAGTCATAGTTCATAAGTGACACGAGGCTGAGGGGAATCAATAAGAAGGCCGCACTCAAAGAGTACAGAATCCTATTGAGACAAAAAGTTAGTAGTGGAGATCTACTCCACACAAAAACAAGTACGTATGTGAGGTGATAAATAGTGTAATAATCTTGACATAATTCTTCCAGAATGCATACATATGCAAAACATCAGGTTGTACCCAATAAATACATACAATCATTACTGGTCATTTGAAAAAGGAACATTCTCCCGATTGTATGACCTCTCTACTAGAAACTCTTATCTCATTTTCAAACGCAGCAAATGTTTAGAACTGAGTTCTTTCCAAGTTACTGCTTCACGAGGCCAGGGATTTAGCTCAGTGGTTCTGCCACCTACCTCACAAGTGCAAGGACCCGAGTTCGATCCCTGACACCAAAAACCAAGTTACTGCTTTGTGGTACTACTTGGCCAAATATGTATAGGGGCAAAAGAGTTGTCATAGGCTTTCTGCAGCAATCACTGAGGTAATGCATCTGAGGACACAAGCCCTGTGAGCAGGAAGAGAAGGAAGACCATGACTGTTGATGTGCATCCAAACCCCAGGAACTCCAGCTCGGTCCACACCTGTTGCTGAGGCTTCTCCCTCCTACGGGGATGGACACATGGCTGGACCCTGTCAGTGTCAAGTGACCTTCGTTCACCTGTGTCTCCATTTCCTGGGCACAAGTTGCAAGTATCTCATCCATACTTGATCACATATAGAGGATCCATCTGGGGGAAAATGATCCATCCCCCCCCATGCAACATGGATGGGGGTTAAGTTGTATATGGGCTTCAGGTATGCTGCTTGCATTCATATGGCAGATTTTGTCCCCACCTGCTGCTTATTGTTTACAGGTGTTCTTGTTGTTTTTCAGGTGCAGGTGCTTTCTTAGTTGTTAACTATAACAAAATATCTTGTGCTGATAATTTATAAATGATGGAAGTTCGTTATCTACAGTTCTGGAGATGTAGACGTCCAAGATCAAGAAGGCACCAAGAGATTTCCTGTCTTGTGAGGGCCTGTTTCTCACAGATGCTCATGCTATGTGTCCTCCCATGGTACAATGGGCAAACAGCCTCCCTCACCGCTTTTAACTCTGATTTGCATCTTAAATGCCATCCAAGGACACATGTTAAAGGTCTCATCCCTATTGCACAGTGCTATTGGCATCTGCTGGAACCTTTAGTTGGCCTGAGCTAGTAGAAAGAAAGAAGTGAGGTCAGTGAAGAAAATACTGAGAGTGCAGCCCCTCTCATCTTACTGTCTGCTATTCCCGTCTTCCTTTGCCTTCCCTCCTCTCCGTCTCTTTCCCTCCCTCTCCCTCTCCATGTCGATCTCCTTCTCCTTTGTAGATACCGTGAGGTATAGCTTCACTGTGTTCTTCTGCCATGATGTCTTGCCTTGTCACAGGCCCCAAAGCATGATAGCTATCCAACCACACACTCAAACTACTGAAAACATGCGTTCACCACATAATTTAATGTATCCCAGGTATTGTGCCACAGCGATGGAAAGCTGACTAAAGCACTGTCTTAGAAGGACACTAATCCAAAATCATCTCCCAAATATAACATGTATTAATATAATTATGTGAGAATTAAGTTCCTACATTAATTTTGTAGGAACACCAGTACTCAAAACACAAAACTCCAGCTCTGTCCACACCCATTGCTGTGGCTTCTCCCTCTATTGGCCTCTGCATTTGGACACATCGCTGGACCCTCTCAATGCCAAGTCACAAGTACTTGGGAGGCTGAGATAGGAAGATCACTTGAGCCCAGAAATTTGAGGCCAGTATAGTCAACAAAGTGAGACTCCACCTCTGCTTCCACCAAAAAAAAAAAAAAAAAAAAAAAAAAAGAAAATAAAAAAAAACAAACACACAAGAAATAAAAAAATGAGTATCAGACAGTAATTAAAGTTATCAAAGTATGTGAGATAACCATATTCAAGCCCTTTTGCAAGCACCTTACAATTACCCAAACTAAAATCAACTGAAATAAGATACTCACCTACAAGATTGGCAAGGATATACACAATGTTTAAAGGCTGACTATAGTATTCTTCACAATGTGGAAAGAAAATATTCCAGATAATGGATACAATCATAAATAAGTGATTTATAAACAACAGTAATGTTTGGTTGTGGCTTTCAAAATTATCATATTTTCTAACCTCATAAAAAATAGCACTGTCTTGAATCTTTTGTGTTTTCTGCCTTGTTATTTTGTTATTTTGACATCTATTCAAAAACATATTTTTAAAAATTCTGCCACATTTAATGTTGGAGAGAATGACCCACTATGGAGTCATTTTGCAGTTCTGAAAGTTTTCCTAGCTATACATATGTATTATGCTCAGCGCTTTTATATCCTTATTCTTTCAAGTGCTTCTGATACTGTAGTGGCCTTTACTAATTCATCAGTTTTTAAACTGGTGCAATCTATAGCTAAATGGAAGGAAAATGCATCCTTCTACTGCCCGTTGCATTGATCATTACATACAGCATCTCATAATCATAATTTTGAAAAGTTGGATGGCAAGTTTTTCAAGTGATTTATTTCAGGGAGCCTAAAGCAGTTTTCTGAAAATTCCACCATGGCCACCTCTTTGGGAAGTTGTTTTTATTTTGTGTGTGTGCATGTGTGTCTGTGTTTTATTGTTTTGTGTGTATATGTGTGTTGGGGATGAAAGCCAGGGTCTACCACATGCTGTGCAAGCCCTCTGCCACTGAGCTGCACAACTAGTCCAGGAAGTTGTTTTTAAGTCCAAAGTTGAACTGCACTCCCTACAACTAAGCATTTTTATTTTTTCCTTTCCCTCATTGGTTTCTTCCCATCTAAAGTAACACCACTGTAGCCATAGACAGTTGTATTTTTAGATGAGTTTTGCTTGTTTTTAAATACTCAAAAACCGGTACATGCTGTAGAAGTAGCAGAAGTAGAGTATAAAACTTGATAAAAGCAGATGTTGATGTAACAGTAGGGAAGTTGTACTGTAACATAAAGTAGCATGATTACATAGTAAGCAAATGAATCAAATAACTGTAAGTCACAAAATCCCTTACTACAGAATATCAAAGGATTTAACTTTTAATCTTCCTTACTTTAATTGCTTGTGGTGCATTATTCTTTGAATAGACTGCTCTGTATTATGAGTACTAATAAGGCTTTATTAATGCTGCAATGAAATCATATCTGTGGCCAGGTAGCTAATACATTTCACACTCAGAGAAGAGAATAATGAATGCGTGGAACCTAACTCACATGGAGTTAGAGTCCAGAGCCAAATGTAATCCAAGGAACATTAAAGGGCTGAGGACTGAGGGCAGGGTAGGAGTGTGGCAGCAGGCCTCATTAATTTGCAGAATACCAACGCCCCAGGTCACCACCCTCAGCAAGCTCCTTCACAAATCCACTACCCTTTTCCTCAGTGCTCCAGAGAAACCTGAGCCCTGCCCTCGGATTCCCACCAGCCTTTCTTAGAGGCTTTAGATGACAAGTACTGCACCTTCTTTATCAGTTTGCGCAGTAACGCGCCTGCGCAATACAGACCACCAAGACTCCAGAGCCAATCTCCGCGCAGGCGCCCGAGCTCTGCTCCATGGCTCCGCCCACATCTGCCCACATCTGCCCCCAGCCTGTGCCCACCTCCACCAATACTCACTTTCGGGGACGGCTTGGTGCTGACCTCTACTCAGTCCAGGAAGCCAGGAAGCCCAGGGGATCCAAGCAGCAAGACGCTATGGACGGTCGGGTGCAGCTGATGAAGGTATTCATGGCTTGGCCCCGGCCCAACAGGCGCCGCTGGAGGAACCCGATTCCTTTTCCCGAGACGTTTGACGGGGACACCGACAAGCTCCCCGAGTTCATCGTGCAGACCGGCTCCTACATGTTCGTGGACGACAAGACGTTCTCCAGCGACGCCCTGAAGGTGACGTTCCTCATC